CCCCTACTCTCCAAATCGGGGCTTATCGCTGCTGTACTTTATTATTGTTGGTAGTGGTCTTGACTCTCTGTTATGTATCTTTCTATGTTTTCAATATGTGAAAGCCAAGTTGGGTAAATCTATGAAGACAATAGAATAAGGGTTCCTAGGGTAAGGCCGGGGAGCGGGTACGGCAGGGTGGGCAGGGGCTGATGGGGAGCCAATATCAAGGAACACTGAAGGAAGAAAATGTTTTCAAATGATTGTGGTCCTGGTTATACAACACTGCTTGATATGACTAACTACTGAACGGTATGAGATCTGAATTACGTCCTAATAAAATTATCTGGGGAAGAAAAGAAATAAACCAAGCCAAACTCAGTGCCATCAAGTCTGTCCAGACCCACAGTGACCCTGTAGGACGGGGTGGAGCTGCCCTGTGGTTTCCCAGACTGCAACACTTCATGGCCCCTTGGAGACAGCTGGTGATCTCAGCCCGCTGACCCTGCAGTTTGCTGTCAAACTCACCACCGCTATGCCTCCACTCTCACTTTCCTGAAACTCTCCAGGTGGCACAAATGATTACACTCCACTGCGAACCAAGAAGGCGAATCTTGGAGTCCATCAAGTGGTGCCAGAGAAGAAAGGCCTGGTGAACTGCGCCCGAAAAACCCATCATTTGAAGCCTCACGGGGCACAGTTCTTCTCTGTCCTACATGGGATAGCCATCAATGGGTATGAGCTCAGGGCTGACCGACTGCTTTTTAACTGGTTTTATAATACTCTCAAGCATATTACACAAAGCACTTATCTTCATAATTCCTGAGTTTTACTGTTATAAACAGTGAAAAAAATTATGTACTGAATAATCCATCTTTGTATCATGCCTTGAAAGCCTGCCACATTATAAACTATCTTTGATTCTCTCTGCTTTTATTATCACCTGTACCTCCTGAATTTATTAAAATCTGTTTGTATTCATTATCACGAGCTCTATTATCACCTCTTTTAAGTTATTACATCAAAACCTGTGAGAGCTGGACCCTGTAAAGCAGACACTTGTCAGAGAAGGAAAACTCAATAGAGAGACCGTTATGTCATAAGACTGAACCCTGCTAAAGGTGGAAAACTTGTGAGACGCTATATTTCATTGTATTATGCTATGCTATATTTTAATATATGTCAAAGTAAATTCCAACTATTGTTCAGTATACTTTGATTGTTCTTGCTGGGTGAGTCTTTCTGATGAATCTTCGAATCACTTTGATCCATTACAGTCCGATGGAAGGTTTATAGTAATTCCAGGCAGATTATAGAGGACACAATGGTATATGCAATGACAAGAGAGATGTAGTCAGCCAGTGCTGGTGGGAAATGAGCTCTTAGATTGGAAGATGAGCAGGGTGGGTAGGTTTTAGAAGGCCTTGACTTCTAGGCTCTACCACTTGTCTATCCGTTTGTCATATTGTGGTGGCTTGTAGGTTGTGATAATACCACGAGTAAGTTCAAACACTACCAGGGACAGCAGAGCATCCAGACTAGTAAGATAGGGCTGGAGTTCTGCTTTTAACAATTACCCAATGAAAACCTTACAGATTCCAATCGAATATTGTCTAATGTAGTCCTAGGAGACGAACCCCTCAGTTGGAAGATGCTACACAATAATGAACACAAACATTCCAATAATCATGAAGATGGCGAAGGACCAGACTTTTTTTCCCCTACTGCACAAGGGTTACCAGGAGTCAAAACGGATTCAACAGAACCTAACAACAGTCTCTAGGTTAAGCAGTGTAGACCATCTCTAAATTATGGGACCAAAATTTGGCAGCATTGTTTGTAGGTAAGAGCATGGGAAATGAGCAGAAGCTAGAATTAGAAGGAAAACTTAGAGATGCTTATTTGTTCCTTTTGAAAACAAGGTTAAGGGGGGACTTCACAGGCAAATTAGGGATTATTACAAAGAAGTGGCTGCACAATTTGTTCAACCTCTCTAGAGGACTCAATAAGAGGACAAGGGCTTCAAACGTATTGATAAAATTTTGTTAAATAAAAGAGCCTTTGGGGCTTTACAGATGATGAAATATCAGAACAATGTACTTAGGGAGGCAGTGGTTTTATTTTTGTCCTGCCAGCCAATGGGGAATAGAGTAATGCATGAGATTGTGGGAAGCTAATTGGAATTCAGAAAGCCAGGGGTATGGCTTGTCTTTGCTCACTGGTAGCTGCTAGAGTTACCATCCGCTATCCATTTAACCTCTCTCCTCTCGGGTTCCGCCCTCTCTCTGTCTGTCTGTGACATCGTGGTGGCATCCATCAGCCAGCAGACTATGTCGCCAGGATTTAAGCAGTGTTACTCATAGGGACAGGGCTCAGCAAAATTTCCAGAAAAGACAGGTGGAGCAGGGAGAAAGGCCTCGTGATCTATTTCCAAAAATCTGCCAAAGAAAACCCTACGTATCACAACTGAATGTTGCCTGACCAGTGCTGGAAGGTGAGCCCACCTAGCTCAGAAGAGACTCAAAATGCACTGTGGCCACCATGGACTCATGAGGTTGTGGGACTGAGCACCATTTTGCTCTGTTCTAAGTGAGGTCACCATGGCTAGAGCTGACCTGATGCCCACTAACAACTACAACAATCTCAGTTTATTTATTACACCACAGCAATAAAGGCAAAACAGAGGCACTGAGAACCACACATCAGGTGACAGTATGACATTAATGTGGGAAACACATCCAGCACTGTTCGGAAGGAGGTGATACCTGGCATCCTGAATTCCCAGCTGGCAGGAAAAGCTCATTTGATGCAGCTCACAAGGATGCAGAGGACCCCAGAAAGAGGCCTCTTTGCCATGTTCCTGGGCGATGCACACATCTGTTCATTTGAGGCCGCAAAGAACAGGGTGTTCAGACAGCACGGATGCCTGGTTTCAGAGACACGAGCTAGCAAAGCTGAGTTCTTCAGAAGGACAGAGACTGCCTTGTTAGAGTGTGAGGGAGATAAACTCAGGGTTGAAGATGGATACATTTCTTTTCATGGTGTGTGGTGCACTTGTGCTGAGAGGGAGACTGCTTGGCAAGGCTTGCATCTGATTCATGACATTTTGCTACCCTGCTGTCCTGGGGATTTCATTTTGACCTGATCGGTCACACTGGGATAAGCCTCTGTTTGTGGGGCTGGCGTGGTTTGAGCAGCTGTCAGTCTATGGTGTGGGAAATGTTGTTGCCAAGCAGGAACCATGAGAGACCTGCTAAATAGTTGGGTCTTTTCTACTCAAGCCCTAGATCAAGTGACTCATTGAGGAGAGGAGGCCTTCAAGGACCCAGAGGCTTTCCCGCTGCACACAGTTGATCAGACAGACGTGCTCCATGACTGGGTCCGCTCGGAGAATCTAAGAGGCAAGACCGTTCCTCAAATAAAATCACCACTCCCTATACCATCAAGATCAACTCCATTTCCAGAAAGGGTCCCTTGATAGCACTCCACAGTGCATGTTCCCTGTGTATGTCTCATGTGCAAGAAAGTTCAGTGACCCTGTCTGACCTTATTTACTTCACTCTTCTTATGAATGTGAGTCATTTTCTCTGGTTTCTAACCCCCTTTGGTTGTCTTCTTGCTTCCTTGCCCTCTCACCATGACCATTTCTGGACATTAAATTTGCTTCATTTTCTTTTTAGTAAATGGCATTTGGTCAACTGGATATTCAAATAAAAAATGTAAATCTTGACCGTTACTTCTGGCTAGTAGCTACATATTTGAGTAGTAAAACCCGAAAGATTTTGGAAGAAAAGAAAAATTATAAGTAGTTTAAGGAAAGTAATGTTTCCTGAATCTTGTAAAAAAAAGTAGTTGTATAAAAAAATAAATTATAATTATCTATACTGAAAATAAGAAACTATATTTAGATTGAGTGCCAGTCAAATTATTGGACATGTTGGCTACAGTGTTGATTTGGGATCTCCCCCCCCCCCGCCCCCACACACACACACTTTTTTGTGTGCTAGCTTATTGCTATAAATTTCCCTCTGGGTGTTGCTTTAGCTGTATCTCAGAGGTTTGGATATGTTTCAAACTCGCCTCCATGGCTCAATGTTCAGCCAAATCATAGACAAGTCTAAATAGGAAGAACTGTGGAGAGGTATGTACCCCTTCGAATAATCAAACAATCAAAACCAGAAGGGCATGAATTGTTTAAAGACATGTTTTAAAGGGTTAAGAAAAAAGGAAGGAATGGAAGTAGGAAATAGGGAGGAAGTCTGATAAGAGACCCATTTGCAGAGACATTGTGGAGAATAAACCTCCATTGAATAGTCTTATACCATTGACCAAGGAGGTGAAATTCCCTGCCCACAAAGAGAGTACATCAGAAAGTCAATTGTTTCAGATCTTATCACTCGTTTCCCCTTTTAGTCCATTTACTTATCTGTTCTATTTTATTATTATTGTCTGCTTTCTTTTGGACTGGGAAAAATGTAAACAATATCACTGCTCATGTTGTATAGAAACTGTTAAACAAAAACCTAATCTGATGTGTAGACTTTCACTGAAAACACAATAAATTTTTATTTTAAAATAGAATTAACCTCTAAATTGAATTTAGGTAAGGAATAAATTCATTTGAAATGAGGAGTTATATATAATTAAACTGAAACTACGATGACATAATTACTGTCCATGATCAATTAAACCTGAGGTAGAGCACCCATCAGGATGGACAAACTAATGTGGATAATTCAACACTTGTAGTATAATGACAGCTTAAAGACAGAAAAACCTGCATTAGTGTATTGATAGCAGTAAAGAGAGGAGGGAGGGTGGACTAAGAGGTATATTGAAGGGAAAAGTGACGTAGCTGAACAGCTGATTTATGGAGAAACGAAGTAATAGTGTTCAAAAAGAGATCCTCAAATTTCAAAGGTGAAAAACGAGAGGAGCTCAGCTAAGAAACAGAGTCAAGAAAGATGTGCTTTGCCCGCCCCTCACTAAAAGGAAAACAAATAAAATGTGTGCTTCTTTGAGTAGAGTTGAGGCTACATTAAATATATATAGACATAGAGGGTATCTGCCTTCGACTCTCAATGGACCAACATTATTGGCGTTATTCTACAGCATGGCACACGGAATTCTACGAGAATATGCATCTCTGAAGGCAACATAGATTCTATAAGAATCCTACAACAGGTCATTAGGAATGTTGATATGGGTTTAGATGCCACTGTTCATAAACTGTATGTTCCAAGGAAAATGCCTTTAGTCCTCTGAGACTTGTTTTCTTCATAAGCAAATGAGTCTGTTGTCCCTAGTGGTCTCTAAGGATTTCTCACTGGAAGAGCGTATGGATGGAGTGGGACTTTAATTTACTGTTAATGTGCCAAATGTAAACTTCTGCATAACCTCATTCTGCTCCGTGCACCAACTGCACCGAGAGATTTGTGTAGAGAGTTAGGCAGGGCAATTCTGGATCAACAGAATTGATTTCATAATCGATTAGGTCTGAGAGCATGCAGCTCAAATAATTAATGCCAAGTGAAAGTGCTGAGGTTGGTTCAAATTATGGCTCACGGAGCATTTCACTATCGCTTGGGGGCAGCAGAAACATCAAAAAGTTACGGGCCCAAGAAGTTGCAGTGCATTCAATCAGGGAAGTATTTGAATGTGGCTCCTATTCATTCCATACTTCTGTTCTCAAAGTAGAGTGTCCGACTTAGATGGCGAAGCTCACATTCATACCTAAGTTAAAAAACAGTGTATCCAGAGCAGCCACAAATTCAACTTGGGGGGGGGGGGCGCGTGTTGGGAGCATGATAAAAAAAATCCAACTTCAGACATTTTGGGAAGAAGATGAAGAAGACAGAAGCAAATGAGCAAAATGAGCACTTACGGAGAATTTATCCTACGTAGGATGACATTGGAAATTACTTCCAAAGTTTCACAAAACAAGGACATTTGAATGACTATTACATGTTCAGAGATAAAGAAATGGGCGCCTTGTACAAAGACACACCGTCATGGGGGAGGGGAGCAGAATGAAAATCCAAGTCCACTTAGCTCTGACACATGTACGCCTTCAACCTGCCCGAGCACCAAGTGACCTCAGCATCATGCTTTTCATGGACATTTCTGGCATCCTGTCAAAACATATGCATATTAAATGCGTTGGTTCTCCGTTCCTGTTAGAGTGTGTATAATCCCACCCAGAATATTCCAAATAGGTAAAACATTTTTTTCAATTTCTTAAAAATTATATACAGCACACCATTTTCCAATCCAAACTTTTCCCTACTTTGTGGTAACACTCATATTAATCATGTGTCCCTACCACCACTTATTATCGGTGTAAATTGTTGCCAACACCACAAACAGAAACTCACTCTTTCCTAAACAATGGCTCCTTCTTTCCACCTCTTTCCTGACCCCAGTAACTGCTAATTAAAAGTTTCCCTATGTACATTGGCCTCTTCCAGATAGCTCCTATAAATGAGATCTTGCAGGTAAAAATGTTTGCAGGATTAAAAGGCTGCCTTCTGCAAGGGACAAGCGTGCTATGCTGCATGAAGGTCCCTGAGTTCGAAGAGTAATTTACCTTGAGGAATAAATGACTCCATCCCATGTACATTTGTCAGCTGCTACAGTACAGAAGAACATTGAGTCTATATCTGGATACCTCAGACAGCAGAACGCCCTAGGAAAAATGCACTCTTTTCATGGCCGTACTGTAGTTCCTGTGGGTCTCTGACGACGGGCTCTTGGGCGCAGAGAAAGCTGCTGTGAATTCCTGGGCTGTCAGCCTGCCATCCCTGGGCTAAGCCCTGATCAGAGTTATATTTCTTTTCCTGCTGTTGTTACCTGGGACCCCATTCAAACGTGACTTGTAAGGCTAGAAAGCAAGGTCCCCTTCGCTGGTGTGTGAGTTGGCTTCTGTGGGAGAGGAAGACTTACGGGTTTGAACCACTCCCACACCAACTGAATCTGGAAGTGTAATTCCCAAATCAAACTGCCACAGAGGTTAAGTCAAACATCAGACTGAAAGATTAGATTCCTCCCCAGTGTTGTTTATAGGCGAACCCTTCTAAAATTCTGCCTGGGAAAGTGTAGAAGGATACAGAAACAGTTCTTGCTCTCACCAAGCTTTACGACACAATATGCAACAGAGCCAATTTCAAGAAAGCAGCACAACATCCCCTTGAAGTCTTGGGAAGGAGTCAAAAGTCAAGGATGTTTAACTGATAACTTGGAGAAAATCCTCTATCAAGACAGAGGTTTCTAAGATCAGATCAATGAGAAGAACAATGCTAAATGGCATGATACAAGAGTAACCTTGGTTCATAAATTCAAATAATAATCCTTTATGCTTGTGACTCACCAGTCACTCAATTTTTCATAGCTTGGGAAGCTCTGGAACTGCTCCTTTGAATAACAGAAAATTCACCCGTGGTTATTTTGAGGGGGTGCCAGACAAAGACAGACTAAGAAGAAAGTTCTGACAGACTAAAAAGAAAGGTCTGACAATCTACTTCTCAAAATTAACCAAAGAAAATATTATAAATCACAATAGAACCATGGTTAGTTCACTTGTTTGCTGAAGCAGAGCATCAACCAAGAAGAGTGTGCTAGACTGAGTGAGGTGGGTTGGCACTCTCACTGTAACAATGAACTTGAACTTGATCATAAAGATGACCTTCCTTCCCTCTTCCTGGTCTCTTCGGTGAAAATAGCCACCTGCTGACAAACACTTGCAGCTTTGTTAGAGTTTGACAATAAAAGAACACATTCCAATATTTAATCAGAAAAAATATTTTTAAACCACACATAATAACTAGGCTACTAACAAAGAAAGGTCAGAAGTCTGCGCTCAGACTTTAGGAATTAATGTAGTTAAAAACTCGGGCTGATTCCCAGTTCAGACTAGACCGGAACATGTACACAGCTATAGAAAGGGATCGACACACCGACACACCAAATCCCGGGAATGGTGATGCTGGAAGGGTAGAGGGAAGAGGGGGAGAGGAAGGAAAAAAGAGGGTACTGATCGCAAAGACTGACCCATAACCATACACCCCTCTACAAGGGGAAGAACAACAGAATACCTGGGGGAAGGGAGACAGTGGTCGGTGCGAGAGATGAAAATAATAACAATGTACAATCTATCAGGGGGCTATGAGGATGAGAGGGTTGAGGGGAAAAAAAGAGCTGGTCCTGAGGGCTCAACAGAAAGTATATACCTAGAAGAGAATGAGGGCGACATATGTACAAACATGCCTGATTCAATCGATGTATGGATTGTGATAATAGTCGTATGAGGCCCCAATAAAAGGATTTAAAATAAACTGAAATAAATAAAATAAAATTAAGCAAAATCTAATGTCCCTTAAACACCGCCCCCCACCCCCCAAAAAAACCCTCAGGAGCAAAAGACACCCTATTCCACTAAGCTTTATTTCATTTGACCAAAACTCTAAAATCAAACTCCTTGCCGTCAAGTCAATTCCAACTCATATCTACCCTCTAGACCAGGGTAGAACTGCCCCTTTGGGGTTCAGAGACTTCACATCTTTTTTTAAAACACAGTTTTATATATATAATTTGGCATATAATTCACATTATACAATTCAATCACATCAAGAGAAACTACATTTTATGAGAGTACACAGCCTCATCTTTCTCCTGAGGAGTGGCTGGTGGGTTAGAACCACAGACCTAGAAGTTAGCACTAAGTGTGTAGCCCACTACACTAGCAAGGCGTCTTTATTTCTTTTGAAGTAGTATCAAACTGGTATTTTTGGACATACCATTTTTTAAAGTTAGCACCCACAGAATCTCAGGAAAAAACTATTATGAAAGTTAATTTCCATTGAACAAGAGATTGAAGGAATTTAAAAGCTTAAAAATGGAGGCATCATTCACAAGAAGACTGTGGGAATATTCTGATTCAGTTAGAATAGAAATAAGTCTTGATGAATTCTTCTACATCTTGTTATAAACCTGACTGCAAGCAAAATAAATAAATTACAAAGATAAAATATAAGTACTCAGGATCTAAAGCCTGATATTTATAAACTCTTCGAAGAATGTGTGTGTGTTTTTTCAGTGAACTTGAAGCAGAATATGCACCAGTTGCAATAGAGACCTCACGTGTGTAGAGTAGAACTTTGCCTCATAGAGTTTCAATGACTGATTTTTGGGGGGTGGGGAGTGGATAGCCAGGCCTTTCTTCTGCAGCAACTCTGAGTTGCCTTAAACTGCCACTCTCCCCATTCTCAGTTGAGCTAATTAATGATTAGCTACACCTAGGGACTACCGAAGGGGAATGGGATGGTCATAAAAAGAAATTCAAAAGCTGCATTTTCATTTCATCTATATTAACAAAGAATTTTTCTTGAAAAACTAATAGGTTGTTACTAAAATAGAAAATGTATACTTGGCTGGTTTCCAGCCATACTACCCGAAGTTAAAAGAAAACTCTGTGCTACCCAAAAGCCTTCAAGTGGATCACTGCCAAAAGATCACAGGGCTTTATTTCCCTATAGAACAAAGCAGCACAGGCACTGTGACTTCTGTGTGCGTGTATGGAGAGACAAAGACAAGTGACAAGGAGAGGGGGAGAAAAAAAGTATAGGAATGATCAGTTGCAGAAAAGAAGGTAGGAAGACTATTCTCCAACAACAAAAACCAGACTCGTTGCCATTGAGCGGATGCTAACTCATAGCAACCCTATAAGACGAAGTAGAAGTGCCCTGGCAGTTTCTGAGACTGTAACTCTATATGGGAGTAGACGTCCCTTCTTTCTCCTGCTTATTCTCCTAAGCACCATTAAACGCTAAAACTGAGAGGAACCCTAGAAATCTCTTAACTCAGACCGTCATCTGAGGGACTTCTAGATCAATTAGCATAACATCAAAAATCCAGATGTGATGTGAGGGGGATAGTACATTTGGAGTTTGTTCCATCAGGTCAGACTGTTAATCATGATTTCTACTTAGAGGTTCTGAAAAGACAGCGTAACAGTGTGCGACAAAAAAGCCTGATTTGGGGCAGATGGAGGACTCATTTTGGCACCATGACCATGCACCTGCTTATCCAGTCATCTCAGTGAGCCAGTTTTTGGCAACAAGCAGCATGCCTATCTTGCCCCATGCACCTTACTCACGTGACCACACTTCGTGCAACTTCTGTTTGTTTCCACGAATGCAGAAGGACATGAAAGGACAGCAATTTGACATCGAAGAGGTGAAGAAAAAAAACAAGGGAGGTGCTGTCAGCCATCTAAACAGATGAGTTTGAAAAATGTTTGAAAGAATGGAATCACAGATCTGGCAAATGTATTAAGTGTAATGGAGAGTACTTCCAAGGTGATAAAGTTATTTTGTAAAAGAAAATAAATAAATACGCAGTTTTGGAGTAGAGGGAGGGTAATCTGGTTTTTCTTACCCCCTCATATTCCATAATATTCTATATCCTACTTCTAAGAGTAGTGGTTAGAATCCTAAAAGTTTGTGAATAGACATCTCAGGAGCAGCTATTTGACAATCCCAGTTCAGAACAAAGGAGAGTGAAGAAGTCAAGACAAAGGGAAACAATTAGCCCAAGGGACAAATTGGGCCACAGCCTCCACTAGCCTGAGACCAAAAGAAGCAGATGGTGCCTGGTCACTACTACCAATGCTCTGTTCCGAATCCCAATTGAAAGTCTTAGAAAGAGGGGGAGAAAAACATAGAACAAAATTTTAAACCTTAAAAATGACCCGTCCCTCAACAAACCCATAACAAAAGAAGAAATAAATAGGGTTATCAAGAAACTACCAACAACAACAACAAAAAAAGCCCCCAGGCCAGACAGCTTCACAGGGAAATTCTACCATGATTCAGGGAAGAGTTGACACCAATCCTCCACAAAGTATTCCATAACATAGAAAAGGATGGCAAACTCCCAAACTCATTCTACGAAGCCAGTATAACTTTGATACCCAAACAGGGCAAAGACCCCACAGGCATAGAGAATTACAGACTGATATCTCTAATGAACATAGATGCAAAAAGCCTTAACAAAATATTGGCCAATAGAATACAAAAGTATATAAAACATATCATCCACCACGATCAGGTAGGATTCATCCCAGGGATGCAGGGATGGTTTAACATCTGAAAATCTATCAATATTATACACCACATTGATTAAAAAAAAATGTATAAGAACCATATGATAATATCACTAGATGCAGAAAAAGTATTTGACAACATCCAACACTCATTCCTAATTAAGACGTTCATGAAGATAGAAATGGAGGATAAATTCCTCAAGCTAATACAAATATCTATGAAAAGCCAACAGCCAAGATCAAAGTTAATGGAGAAAAGATTAAAACAATCCAACTGAAAAAGGAGACCATACAAGGATGCCCTTTGTCCCCACTTCTATTCAATATAGTATTGGAGGTCCTAGCTAACAACATTAGACAGTGGAAGGACATTAAAGGAATCCAACTTGGTGAGGAGGAGGTGAAACTATTGCTGTTTGCAGATGACATGATTCTGCACATTGAAAATCTCAAAAGTTCCCCAATGGGAGTACTTACAGTGATAGAGGAATATGGCAGACTGGCAGGATACAAGATCAACAAACAGAAGTCTATCGGATTGCTATATATGTCAGACAGGAGCATGGAAGGGGAGATCAAGAAGGCAATTCCCTTCACAATAGTCAAGAACAAATTGAAATACCTAGGAATATATTTAACTAAAAAAACTAAAGACCTATACAAGGAA